ATTTCTACGTTTCTGTCTAATGACCGTCCGACCTCCCTACGAAGGAGATTCGCGCCCCATAATGGGTCCACCACACCCTTGTACAAGATGATAACTCCAGCTTGCTCCCCATGATATAGTATCAGACCACAGGGCTACGAGCGACTCTCATGCCCGATTTACCTTCCTGACGGTGAACGTAGATCCGAATCGTAGCGATGCCTCTTCCCTTTAGAGCCCTTTCTGTAATTAGGACGTTTTGTCATGGATTCGGATACCATTTCTTTGGGTTTGGGGCTTGTTGTTTCCCTCTAATGTTGGTTGGAATGGTGCTATGCCATGAAGAAATCGCGCAAACCCGGGATAATTGGAAGATCTGTTCGACCGTACCGTTGTACCGGCTCGCACCGTCCTTCATGTCATGATCATGGGAGAGACCAAATTGGGCTGCTGCGGTCACGCGAGGATAATTGCCCCTTCAATCGTTACTACAAACTTCAACAGTTGCACCATCGGGATGCCCACTCTCCGACGTTACTGACAGCTTGGGCTTAGATTAAAACTAAGCTGGACTTCCGTCGCCGAGTCCCGGCACGTTCCATTCCAACATATCGTCTGCTAATTTTCGTTCGCCCTCGTTCCCGCCCTCGGCCCGTGCCTGTGAGGACGAGTTTGACTTTGAACGATTAAACCCCGTGATTCGGTGGATTCTTCGTCCTTAGGTGCGAGATTAGACTGGTCCACTTGCTGGGGAGGGAGGCCGCATTGAACCTCGTCCATGTGCTGGTTATGCCAAGAACTCACACTCGAACCGTTCCATGGCCTATCCCAGAGATTGGACTCATATCGCAAGTTATGGTGTCGCTTCAGCGATTGTTCCTCGAGCCCATAACTTCGAAAGTTTCCCATGACGCCAAGTCTGTTGACCATTAGCGCTGACCGTTGGCGGGTAAGCCGAAACACATGGTACATGGGTCAAGGGTGATGCAACACTTCAACCCGAGTATGTTGACTGTGTTCATTTCTTTAGCGCATGGAACAAGTTCTTTGGAGGCAAGGTCCCATTATGTTTGATGAATTCCAACCGGCCCTGTGGGGGACTGCTTGCTGCTGCTCTTTTTTTTTTGTATTTCGGCTTAGGGACCTGTGAACTCCAATTATGTATCTCTCTTTTTTTTTTTTGTCGTTCAATAAATCCGCTGGTCCTCTCTGATTGAATCCTGTTTTCTGGCATTATAAAAGACAAACCAAAGAACAACAAAAACAAAATCGTTTCTTCTCCCGAAACTATTTGTTCTGGATAGCACTATGGGCC